TCCAGGTAAAGGGAAAAGGCTCATTATCAGCCATATTGGCAGTGAGGATGGATTTGTTGTTGACGGTCTGTGGTGCTTTGAGTCTAAGAAAACTGGAGATTACCACGAGGAAATGAATGGCGAATCGTTTGAACAGTGGTTTTCAAAAATTTTACCGAACTTAGAGGAAAACGCAGTAATTGTGTTGGATAATGCGCCTTATCATTCTCGAAGAATGGAGAAGGTCCCAACAACGGCTTCACGGAAAGTTGATGTTCAAAATTGGCTCCGCTCGAAAAATATCAACTTTGAAGAAGCAATGCTGAAAGTACAATTATTAAGAATTGTCAAGGATCACAAGGCGGAATATCAAAAATACGCCATTGACGAAATGGCAGCAAGTCAAAATAAAACTGTGCTCCGTTTACCTCCATACCATTGCGAGCTCAATCCCATTGAGCTCATATGGGCAGAGGTTAAAAATTATATAGCTAAGCACAATACAACTTTTAAATTTTGTGACCTCAAAGGACTTTTCAAAGAAGCACTAGAATTAATAACAGCGCAAAAATGGGAAAACTGTATTAAGCACGTGAAAGACAAAGTTTAAAAGAGAATGTGGGAACTGGACAATATTTTAGAGGAACAAGTCGAGCCATTCATTATTGACGTTGGTGCTTCAGGCAGTAGCGATGATGAAAGCTCATCAAGCTCATCTTTCCAATAAAAGATGTCGTTCATCAAATTCGGTAAGTTATAAGTAATTATAAAGCTACTGTATTTTTTAATTAATTATTGACATTTTTGAACCCATTTTGGCAAAACCTATTCAAGAATCTACTTTCTGACAATGTTCAACCATGCACATTTTTTTACGTTTTGAACGTTTTAATTTGGTTACATATTTACCTAGAAATCAAAAAATATACTAATCAATATTCTAAAAGCAATTTTAAGAGATATACGATTATTTTTAATTTAGGCTAATTTAAACGCCATTTTGAGATTATATTCGACTGTATTTCACCAAACATCAGGCGGCATCCGAAGCTGGAAATCGAAACGAAAATTTTGAAACCCTTATGTATATTTACATCATTATATATTTCTTACCCCACCCCCACATGATCCTATATCCATCACCAATCGTATACACATCGAATTGTGCTAATTTACTACAAAGTTACGCAAAGCAGCATCTACTATCTAAAATATGTACTGCGTGACTCTTAATACGTCCCTGCCGAATGTTACAGCGTTCGATGATCACGTGGTCTTGTTTATGTCCGGTCTATCTCTTATCTGAATATACTGTAGATTTCCTAACAGACGCCAACCTGCCCCAAAGGTTTTTACGCGTTCATTTCTAGAACTTAGAGCTAGAGGCCATGGTGTGTATAATAGATGAAGTTTCACAGTTTCATTTTGCTGTACTCGCTGGGAAGATTGTGTACATTTTTCAATCTTTTTGTAGCAACGAATTCAGATTAGGTAGAACAAGCCAGTCAAAGATTTGTCTATTTCCTAATTCTCATAATCTATAGTAAGGATCATAGGGTACTTGATACAAGTCAATTTTTTGACAGTTCTGTCATCAAATTTGTATTCTTAGTGTTATTTTTGAGAAGGGCGAGTGTTGGCAGATAATTGTGGTGTTAGACGTTTCAAGATATGTAACTTCTTACAAAATTTTCAAAGTGCGGCACAAACCTAATGAAGATAAACATTTCCACCGATAAGTGGTAGTATTATGTTGATTCAACAGTGTCACTTTGGTCGGCATTGGTAGACAAATGAGTCGAAAGTATGCACTAACACTCTGCAACTTAGGCGACAAACAGTGCAGTGTAAATATTGTAGTCTTGGCTCCAAACCTATTCGAATTGATTGGTCCCGTGTCTGAGGAGACGCTGCTCGGAATCCATTGCTCATACTTGAAACGGTTCATAAAAGGGCAGTAAAACTCAAACCAATTAGCATTTCCTTAACACAATATCTCAAGCTCCTTGAGGAGTAGTTGGTAAACTTGTCTGTTTGCTACACCAACCAATTACAAGCTCTGGCAATTTTGCTAATCTTCACTAGTCTCAAACCCGTCTCCTTGACTGTACAGCAGTTAACGTATTACAGTATTTACTCCTGGATATTCCAATTTGCTTGAATTTTTTTTATCCAGGTGGTCAAAGCGTTCTAAATACCGTTTTGTTGGTCACTTAAATGAGCATTTGATTTTAACCATTTCGTATGATTGCGTTATTAAAATCCTTCTCGTCGACATTGTCGTTCAGAGCGATACGTATGACCTTGGTTCTTGGTTAAAGCATTACAGGCCAGTAGTTCTGTCAGGTCTACTTGCTCATATAGTTAGTTCATCAGTTCATAAAGGATCATGTCCGGCACCAGACATAGCCCTTCAAAGAAAAAAGTTCTGCGAACATGTATAACGAAAAGAATAAATGGATCAAGTTAGCCAAACAGGCTCATACTATTAGAATTTGCATATTTAGCGTGCTCGTCAGTACAATTTTGAGACTTTAGGATCGCCCCTGGAAATAATGCAACAACAGCAAGAATATTCTATCGAGGGTCGGAAATCTATCTCCGATATTTTGAGGAGAATTCATGATGAGCAAAATATGTCTAATGTGTGTGTAGAATTACCATCTAAAACTTTACATATAGCTTCCCCCACTTTAGTTGGCCCACTTCAAGATTTGTACCAAAATATGCCTTTATAAACTAAACATGACGAAACTATTTACTTCGAAAACAATTTATTTTCTCAAAAACATTTTAGATACACTCTAGTCGTAAAAAATACATGTTTGAAATCACTTAGACCTATAACTAATAGAACATCTGAACAAGTAAACAATGTGCAAATAAATGCGCGAAGTTAACAAAGCAACAATTGAAAGATTACCATTGATAACATCACCTTTATTTTTTATTACGGCTGAAATTCTTTGGGGCATAGTGTGAACCAAGTTTTGGCAAAAATTTGGTGTAAAACAGTCCCACATTTCTTGAAGCTTTTGTCTCAGTTCGGTGATTGTACGAGCAGGATGTTGTCGTAGAACCTTTTTCATCTCGTGCCACAAAGTTTCAATAGGTGACAGATCTGGACTGCTAGAAACCCATTTCAAAAGTGGTACATTATTTTCTTCCATCCGCTTTATAGCCTTTTTTGAGGTATGGCACGCTGCACCATCTTGCTTAAACACAAAATCTTGGCCGGATGTCAAACATTCTTCCATCACTGGTAAAAGCGATTCTTCTAAAATTGCCAAATATTTGTTTGTATCCACATTTCCATCAATAAAATGAAGTTTTCCTACTCCTTTTTTTTTTTTTTTTTTTTTTTTTTTTTTTTTTTATATCGAAACAGCCGCGCAGGCAGAAGCCTAAATGCCGGAACACCGCGGCTGCTATGATGATCCCAAAGAAATTTTGTTAATACGATTTTTGAACTGCCTAAGGTTAGTAGAACTGGGAAAAGCTTCCTCCCGTAGTTTGTTCCACAATCTAGACACCCTCGGGACAAAGGAGCGGTCGTATCGGCCAGTTCTGGATGTACGAAGTTTGACACGGTTAGGATGGGACGCCGAAGTCAGGCGGGTCTGTCTGGCAGGCACATCGCGCGGCGGCATCATGGAAGAGAGCTCTGAGGAGCAAAGCCCGTTGGTGTAGCGATAGAAAAGAGCTAGATCGCCGACGGCCCGCCGGTGCGAAAGAGTGATGGCATACTGCCCCAGACCATAATGGATGCTGGAAATTTCACTTTTCTCTTCAGACAGTCAACATGGAATGCTTAATTTTTTTGCGAATAACTCTACTGCGACTGTCACCAACACAAACTTCGTATCGGGCCTCATCACTCCATTGCATTGCACACCATTGTTGAGGTGTCCATTGTCTATGTTCTATAGCCTATCTAATCCGATTTTTCTTTTGCAGTGGAGTTAATAGTGGCTTTTCTCTGGTCTATAAACAAGTTGTGCAACGTACCTTGCAAGTGCTAAATCCCAGTTTGTGGGCCTCTCTATGAGTTGTGGACCTCGAAATTCTCCTTCCAACAGCGTCACTCCACAGAGCACTTAATTGTAAATAACTGGCACGCCTGTTTTTCACGATGATTCTTCTTAATGCTCTTCGGTCGGCATTTGTGATATTACTTTTTTTCACATATCGTGACTTAATATTAACTGAACCAGTTACTTTATATCTTCTAACAATATTTCTCACACTGTACCGCGATTAGTCTAACAAAGTTGCAATTTCTGAGTTTGATTTCCCAGAATTAAAAAAATGTATTATCAGTAACCGAATTTTCTCACTAATAATCTTTCCTCTACCCATTTTGAAAACCTTAACTACCCAAAACTATTTTAAACATATTCTGACGGCTGTGATTAATAAAAACAATTGCCATGGCTTTTATTTTTCACAGCCACCTATGCGTTATAGACTTATTTTGCATTGAAATGAAAATAGGTTGATATGCTGTAATTGCAACATGTGTTATTTTTATGCTGCAAATTTGATTAGGGGGTGATAAAGTTGGTGTTTTCTACTATATATTACCAAAATATTCATTGTTAATATTTTAAACCTATAACACCCTGCTACATTTTTATTATTTGTGTTTGATAATAAAAAAACTAAGATTTCAATAGTTGGGCCAACTGAAGTGGGAAGGGGCTCGTACAATGCCCACGTCCCAATTTCCCATTTTCAAAACCTTTAAAACTTTTTAATCCCTGGCATAGTAATACCTTGTATGAAAATTTCATCAGCGGATCGTCAAACAGACTGACAAATCCATGAAAAAGAGTGACACGGTTTTTCGTGATGCACATGTCATATAACATCAAAGAACAATATCTCATTTTCGCGATTACAATGCTTCCTCGCCAGTAGCGTAGGAAGCAAGAGTGGAAGAGCAAAGAGGAAAAAGTCTGTTGGTTGCAGATATGCTAACTAGCCTAAGTATGAATTAATACTGACAATATTACTTACAGGTTGCAGTTGAACAAGCTTCACCTCGTTCCAGCATTAATGAAGAGACACAAACGGCCATTCATCAGCCCCACTCCCTTTGAGCAATATGACCACTCCTAAGCCCTCGGTCAGCACCTTGCTGCCCGTAACAGGAACATCTCCACAGCTGAGGGCAAGACAGAACAGCACACCTACTGTATCATGGATAACATCAACTGGAATTACCCCGAAGACAGCTTTTACAAGTAATGTAGTTCGTTGGAATATTATGTAAAGTTTAACGCCCGAATTGGAAGAACGAAAAATGTAAACCTTCCGAAAATTCTCAGTGAAATTTCTAAATGAAAGTATTAAGAGCAATCCAAATTTCCGAAACACGTTTCAAATTTATAACACCTTCTAGATCTTAAAACCCTTATTAAACTTCAAAAAATCTTTGCATATTGAGATTATCGACAATTGTTTTCAGGATTTTCAAAAAAGTTCAATCTAGCATGCTTGCTTATTTTTTACGTCAGGGCTGTTTTGAGAGTAGGTATCGGATGATTTCATATCGTAAACCAAACACTACTACGTACAGGGTGCCCACCAAGTTGGGACTTTCCTTTACAGAACTTGCAGACCAGAAAATAGTAACGCACGTACCAAAGCCTTAAGATAGTAAGTTCTGAAAAACTCTGAATGGGCTAACCCACCCTGCCTTCCTTCTCTCCTCTTCCGTGAAAAGGTATGATGTTTTTGGTACTATGTGGTTTACTATCGAAATCAGGAACCGCGCAGAATGTAGGTTAACCTAGTTTATAAACAAGTCGCATTTGAAAAACCGAAATTGACACATTCCTAAAACAGTAATGTAGTTATCGATTTGATATTAGTTTACTGTGAGCGTCTTCAAAATCCTACTGATACTCCGCGAGTGATTCAGAGCGTCGTCCTAGATGTTTCCATCTCAGCAGCTAGTTTTGTTTATATTGTGCAAAAGCCATCTGGGCAGACGGAGCAAAGTAGAAGACCTGGACAACCCCAAATGTTGCAAATTTATGACGACGTGAATAACCATCGAAAACATGTGACAGGGCATTACTTGGAATTCCTTAACAAATGCATAGTGAGTATTTTTGTTCAATTTTCTGTTTACGGTTACGGGGTGTTGCTGTTAATTCGAACGTATTTGCCTTTGAAAAGAAAAGCCGTAACTTTCACGACACCATGTATGTTGAAATGATCGTTTTACGCGGGAAAACAAATAGAAAAAATTGATTTGCTTGTTCCAGGTACCGCCACACCAGGAACCACCTTATCAGGTGTAACGTCGCCTGGAACTTTCTTAAACCTAACACATAGGACAACAAGTGAGGTGTTTTACAACGGTACTGGTTATTATATAGAAGCAGAGGAAGAGCTTGGTAAGGAATCCTATGTATTAAAAATAGTACCATGCATCGTGTTATTTCACCAACATCAAGCGTAAGGTCATGGGTACCGTAAAATTGCTTCACTTAAATGATTAACTCTAAAGAAATGTATCTTATGTAAAATCTCTTAGGTTCGGGTTGTTGTATCAAAAGACAATGAATTCTTTTTGTTATGCTATTAGTTATCTAGGTAATGCAGTAGGGATATTTTGAGTAACAAAATTTTACAATGGTACAATAGTATTTTTTTTTGTTATATCGCAATATTCTAATTGCTTCCTTATCATAAGTTCAATTTGGAGTCATGATATGGCTAGAGCATTAGCTACCATTTTGATAAATTGATCATATAACATATCTCGTAAACTATCGATCATATTTAAAAAAATAATTGAAACAATTTTCAAGGGAATAATTTTTCCTCTATAGAATCTTGCTATACAGTCAATATTTTACGAGAATTTCAAGGATAAACCATGTAATGATGCTTTCTATTATAATGGCTAATTTCAGAACCTCAGCATAAAAGATGACGTATCTTTTTTGTTAAAAGCTATAAAAAGGTGTTTTAGACTTTTTCGCCAGCTAGATAGCTTTTGAAGTATAAGAAGTAAAAATGACAAATTGGTATTAAAACATTCGCGTAGAGCAGAAAAAAAATTGATTTTTTTTGTAGCGGTATTTGTTGTATCCTAGTGGAGGCATCCAGAAATATCTGATTCGTATCACAAAAAGTAGTCACACTTTCCTATCACCACAATAACGTGTAGGTGGTAAAATATGGATCTACTTTCATGTCATGGAGGTATACTTCATTCTGGCGAGCCACGATATATCAACGCCATCCCGTACTCCGAGACTTTGTACTCCTTTTTATTCATTCTATGTCGGTAGTCATCCCTCAAGAGTCCTGCAGAATCCAAACATTAGTCAAACAGTGCCGTGCCTCAACCGACCCAGGAGACTGGGTAGACAGGGGTGTTACGCTTCTGCGATAACGGCTCGAAGGCTCGTGGGTTCGAATCCACATTTTTTAATTTATCTACTCGTATATACTAAACTCTACTTATTTCGATCACTAATTTCAATGAAGTTAGTAATTAAAACTCCAAAACAAAAGACGAAGTAAAAATGCGTTAAAAAACAATGAATATTGTTAGTGTTAGTGTTTCAAATTTGGCCGTCACTATTGGCACCTCTACAAGGTGGCATAATTAGAACTTGTGCGCAGGTAGACAGAATTTTCAATTCTGATTCCAAAAGTGCATAATATTGGCATTGTCAAACCTTAGTTATTTAAAAAACAACAGAATTTCCTAGGTAGGCCTTGATATCATTAGATAGTCATTTTTTTCCAACACCAGGCTTTTCTCAAAATAATGTTTTATTTTACCTGACTACTTGCGATCGGATTTTAAAGTAAATTACATGTTGTCATTGCTAACTTTTTCTTCTCTTCAATATGGCTTAGTTAAATTTTTACTTCCCGGTTTCAACTACCATCACCAACGTTGTTTTTTCTTATAGACGCTGTATTGGAATTTTATACATTTAAATGGAATTTTCAGTTCTAATTCCTTAGTTGGCCGTGACTTTGTTGTTGAAACGAAAATTATAAGGAAATAAAAAATGAACCCGAAATGAAAATTTTATTGATGGTAATAACAATAATCATAAATGAGCAGAGATAAATCATAGATGTTCACAACCTGTTCGTTATTTTGTAGGCAAGGCCTGACTCTTCTCTGTACATTGTTCACTGCTCGGTTTATTTCCCTTCTTCTCAGTCTTCCAATCTCTGTTTCTACGTTCAATTTAAGGTGGTATGGTATTCGAAACGAATGATTAAAGGTGGCAATGTTAATGTGCAATTTGTTTTAAAATCCCACTACAAATAAAGTTAGGAAAAAATTAAAACTAATTTGGGAAAATTAGGTTTTTTTTCGTCTCCCTCCGGAAGTTCTTTGAATTTCAAAACTTTCCAAATGGCATTTTGTTAGTTACCTAAATTCGTTTCGGAGGGTCCAGTTGTAAATATCCCGTATATTCATTGTTTTTATAAACATTTTTTACTAAGCCTTTTGTTTTAGATCAAGTTTTAATTACAAATTGATTGATTGATAGTTTATCGTCATATTATATAAATTATATTATGTATGACAAGTTTTGGATGAAGAATCCACAAAGTAAAAGAAGGTCAAGCAATTACAAAAAAAAAACAAACGAGTGCACATAAGATGTGAATCACAAACCAAATCAAAAATTGTGATTTAAAAATTCCTCCACTGAGTAAAAACATTAATCAAGGAGGATGCACTTCATTTGTTTTTAGAACGGATGGTCTGAGGTAGCTTATTGTAAAAAATCAGATTCAATCAGTTGCTGGCAGAGCCATCTAGTCTATAATAGCGAAATAAGATAGCTCCAAGTGCTATCTACAGGGCGTTTCAGTTTATTGTTGCATAACTTTAAGATTCGATAGAACTTTTAAAATTAATGCATAAAGTCTATATAAACATGGGTCGAAAAATGCCTGGCTTCCGAAATACAGGGTGTTTAAATTTACTTTCTAAAATATTTTTTTTAAAATATTTCGAACAATATTTGATGCATAACAGTGAAAATTGGTATACAAGGGTTTTTTGGTACGACAAAACGAACCATGGGCATAGTTTTACTGTAGCCACTAGAGAGCGCTCTCTACTGTACCTGTAGTGTATTAAAATGAAAAAATTTTTCTTAGTGCAATTTTTTGCTTTTTGAGTAAAAAAATTTATTCCTCGCACTTTTCAACATAAAAAAGCTCTCTTGTGAATTTTCGTTATAAATAGCCGTTTTTGAGATATTTCGATTTTTAAGGTTCGATGCATTTTTAATTATTTATGATAAAATAATGTTAAAAAGTCAGTATCTCGATAATTTTTAGAAGTAGGCTGTGCCTGCAAATATTTTTGAAATTGAAAGCAGAATAAGGTTAAACGTCAATTAGTTGACAGTTAGTTTTGTTGTCTGTTGAAACCTGAAACGTTTTTTTTTGCAATTGTGAATGCACGAGATTTAGTTTCTTTTACCTGTTTTTTCTTGTAAGTTTTATATAAATGCCATTTTTATTCTTCAATCCAGAGTTAGCGGATATTCATTTTTTGTATGGCTTTGTAAATGGATACGCAGCAGAAGCAGCCAGAGAATACGCACGAAGATTTCCAAACAGACGACATCCAACTCGCTCAGTATTTGTAAGAGTGCATCGCCAAATAATTGAAAATGGTTTTGGAAATCTCAAAAGGGATCAAAACATAAATGTTCGTCAGCGCAGATTTACCCGTACGATTCTGCGTGAGTTTGATAGAGATCCGACCACAAGTGTTAGGAGAGTTTCTGGTGCCTTGCGAATTTCAGCAAGCCATGTTTACCGTGTTCTTAGAAATGATCATAGACGTCCTTACCATTTGCAACCTGTGCAAGGACTACAGCCAGGGGACGGAGGACGAAGAATCACATTTTGTCAGTGGATTCTTGATAGAACTGATAATAATAGGGAGTTTTTAAGTAACGTTTTATGGACCGATGAGTCATGCTTCAGTAGACGTGGAGTGGTAAATTTTCATAATCAACATATTTGGTCGCATGAAAATCCGCATGCAGTTCGGGAAAGAAATTTTCAGCATGAATTTAGTGTGAACGTGTGGTTTGGTATCTACCGTAATCGACTACTTGGACCCTACCTTTTGCCTGCAAGATTAAATGCTGCGACCTTCTTGGAATTTTTAAAGGCTGAACATGCAAATATGTGGGATGATGTTATGTTAGATTTAAGAAGATTGGCCTGGTTCCAGCTTGATGGTTGTCCAGCTCATTATTCGAGAATAGTTAGAAACTGGCTGGACGAAAATTATCCAGAAAGATGGATCGGCCGTGGAGGACCAGTCGCCTGGCCTCCACGATCCCTGACCTAAATCCATTAGATTTCTTTGTGTGGGGATTTCAAAAATAAAAAGTGTACCAGACTCCCGTAACCACAAGGGATATGCTAATAGACATAATCAGGAATGCATGTGATGAAATAAGGCCTTATTTGAATAATGCTATACCACGTTCGATCATTCGTAGATGTGAACTGTGTATTGAACAATTGTGTTTACATTTCGAGCAACTACTTTAGATTTTGTATGTTTGTCCTAACTATCCAATAGCATTTTAGTTGTAAATAATTAATTTAATTTGTTAAAAATAGTATTGGAAAATTAAACAAATTAATATTCTGTTTTTTTGTGTTTATTTGATGTTAGGAATTATTGCTGTGTTTAAAAACACAATCTAAACGATCATCTTAATTACTTGTAATGCCCAAATCGAAAATGTAAAAAAAAATATTATTTTCCCATAAATAATTAAAAATGCATCCAACCTTAAAAATCTAAATATCTCAAAACGGCTAACTATAACGAAAACTCGCAGGAGAGCTTTTTTATGCAGAAAAGTGCGAGGAATCAGTTTTTTTGTCCAAAAAGCAAAAAAAAGCACTAAGAAAAAATTGTCGGTCATTTTAATACACTACAGGTACAGTAGAGAGCTCCCTCTAGCGGCTACAGTAAAACTATGCCCATGGTTCGTTTTGTCGTACCAAAAAATCCTTGTATACCAATTTTCAATGTTATACAACAAATATTGGTCGAAATATTTAAAAAAAACTATTTTAAAAAGTAAATTTAAACACCATGTATTTCGGAAGCCACGCATTTTTCGACCCATGTTTATATAGACTTTATGCATTAATTTTAAAAGTTCTATCGAATGTTAAAGTTATGCAACAATAAACTGAAACACCCTGTATAAGAAGAATCGGCCACTGCGAACATGAACACAGCAAACTATTTCTTGGAACTGTTGGCATTGTCAGCTGGGTAACCACTGTGGCGGCTAGATGCCGCCGATTCTGGTGATACAGTCGACTTGCCATCAAACAGTTGTTAATAAAAAAATAAGTTCTCTATTATACAATGTGCATTCTTCGTGCAGTCGGGTGATTTTCATGACAAACGAAAATGGCCGAATTTTTCGAATATTTAAGGAATTTTATTAGAATTTTTATCACATTCCTGGATGTTGTCAACCTTTGTACCCCCACCACTGACCGCAAAATAAAAGTTTCCAACTTGCATTAACCCTTTGCATGCAGAGGGTCGTCGCGTTGAATTCGCCTCGCTCCGGGATTTCCACCAACTGGTAACTTCGGCGGATGCTTATTTGGATGTATGTAGCGTACATACTTTACTTACGATACGAAGCGCAGTGCATAGTAGAAAAGTTTCGGTCGATCTTCGAATTGATAATATTGGAAAACAAATGGTTCTTACTTTTACAGAAAACCCTTACGGGTTTTGAACTTTAATTCACAACGATTCACATCGTTCTGATGCTTTAGGCAGAATTTAAGTCATATGCCGTGGTTATCAAGGGGGTTCAAGGTTCAAATTGGTAATATTGTCAAGCCCAGGACCGCCTGGTGTAAGTACACCCGTTTACAAAAGGCCGTCCAGCCCTCCAAAGCGTTTTTTAATGTACTATACACGTCACCCTCGTTCATCGTTCCAAAAACGCCAAAAGTTCTCCGAAAACGCGAAATACTACTCCGAACTATTTTCGAAACATACCGGTTGATTGCTATGCGATCTTTCACTACGTTGCAAAAGGAGCCACGTTGTTTCTCTTGTGATGAAATAATAGCATATTACAACAGTACACACTATTGTAGAAACTCACTGTATAGGAATGTGAAAATTAAAGAAAAAACAAAGTGTCATCTGGAAGACAGATAAACAAAATATATTGTCAGAAGTGTCAACTGTACTTGAAAAAGGTGACCGTTAGGACCGAAACGTTGCGCAATCAACAGGAATTTGAACATATGGTTTCAAAGGCAGTTTCAAACTATTCATCGGTGTACCTATATGACGAAAGTGGCTAGAATAGCTAAACTAGGCTAGACTTGTGACTAGCGCTTGAGTACTACTATGAACTAAAAATTGAAAATGTGTTTTTTTTTAAATAATAATAGTCATGGCATATCTCTGTTATGTCTCTATAAGTCGCGGTACTTTTTTAACTTAAATGCATCATATATCGTGAACAAGTTTGTTGAAATGACATTCTGTTTCAGGACTGAATGACTGGCAAACTCTCTTCCTGGCCTGTGTCATCACTTTAATCTCTTTGGTGTTTATTCTTTTAGTGGTTTTTGGAATCAGGTGAATATGAACCTTATCTGTACTTACACATACTTCTTCCAAACTGATATACGACAACCGTTCTACTTCTAAGACACTGACCTTTGGCTCGCAATCAATTCTTTGACGATTTTTTAATGTTTAACATATATTTAACGTGAGTTTTAATGGTAGTTATTTATAATTGCTTTATCCTAGGGTTGCGTGGAAGAAGTACAGAAAATGCAAGCACAACTCTCAGTATGATGGAATCATTCGACGTGAAGGCACTTCCGAGTCGCTATCAAGGCCGTTACATTCCCATCTAACAGATAAGGTGAGTTGTCGATGTCATAGCGTGCTATATTGTTGTATGACCAGTAGCTTTTGTGGTAACTGTCTAAGAAAACATATAATCTTTTGTTGTCACACGTGCTCTATGATAGCTCAGTTGGAATAAAATACAATTTCAAAGTGAAGCACAACAAATTAACTGTTCTCCGTATACCAGTGGGTACACTTGTTAGAAGACTATTCGATCTGAGCTTCAAGACGTAAGGTTAGCGATCCATAGTTATGTTATCTTTCTTTCTCTTTTAAACTAAATTAAATTTTTGTATTCAACTTTCCACATTATGATTTTAGGAAGCAGATGTCGGCGTATGACTTCCAGAATAGCTCAGGAATGAGACCTTTTCTGTTGAAAATACCGGTTGCGAATTTTTTACAAAAAAGTCAGTCATTCATAGGCTAAAAAGACAAACGATTTCTGGCAGTCAGATGTACTCTACGGCAGCACAGTCGGATGAAAATAAAATTTCGATGTGAAGCATATCAAATAAAATTTTTTCATATATATATATATATATACAGGGGAGAATACTACTCATAAACAAATACACTTTGGGTAAATCTATTTATGGCATTTTATACACGACATTTGATGGCACATTTCTAAAATATTGGCAATTATACAAGGTGTCCCAATTTTGACCTACATATCTAAGTTTTAATTTTTTAAATGAAATCCCTCAAATTTTATTGCATATTAATGTACCAATTCAAAAGAAGAAGATTGATATAACATACTATGGGGTTTTGGTAATTAGCTACTGAGATGTGTTTTGCCCAGAAAAACCGTCCACTTCGGCAACCCCTTAATCCGCCATTTTGAAATTTGGAGAGCTGAATTTTGTATATAAACAAACTTACACACCTCAGCTTTTATCTTATTTGTTACTTTTTCGAAATTTCATATTTGCTCATACAGGGTGGTCAAAAACGTGAATTGTCTTTTTTCTCAAAAATTTCAAATGTTTACCCTGTATATTTGTACAGGTTTGGATTCAATTTTGTATGAGCTTTTTTTGGTATTAGGTTTGATTCAGATAAAACCACACACCTTTTAATAGAACAACACACCAAAATTAAGGAAAAAATCACATCATCCATGGAAACAAAAGACAAACAGTGGGCTAGTTCCATATTGCCACTATAGTTATCAGAGTACAGATTACAGTTCTGCATATATCAGTTTCTCCTCGAATTTGCCGTGCACTTAAATGGGGATTTTCCTGCAACTTTAATACAACCTCCAACTGATTCGCCTCATTGGTGACACTTAGATTATTTATACATTTTTTACTATATTCCACTGCTACACTTGATTCAAAACGTTTTCGTAGTGTGGATGTCGCATATTAAGGTACCGTTGCTTATAAAAGTGAGATGCTAGGAAACTATTTCATTGGGATTCGCCCAAAACGAACACCATATTCACCGTTTCTTCTTTAGAAAAATTCATTTTCAAACACGTTTTTATTATAATGGCCAGAAATCTAATTTTGACAGTTTGTAGCTATTCAACAATTTATTTGTTTCCAAGGATGATGCGATATTTTAGGGAATTAAGCCGTTCCATAAAAGACGTGTTAATAAAAGAAAAAATAGCCGTAAAAACCCATATGTGAGTAGTATCAAGAAAAGATTATAAGAACTTGAATCCAAACTTGCACAAATATACAGGGTGATGCACTTGAAATTTTTGACAAAAACTGCGATTTGCGTTTTTGACCACCCTGTATGAGCAAAAATTAAAATTCGAAAAAGTAACAAATAAAATAAAAGCTGAAGTGTGTAAGCTTTCTTTGATACAAAAGTCAGCACTCCAAATTTCAAAATGACGGACTGAGGAGTTGCCGAAGTGGGGGGTTTTTCTAGACAAAACACCTTATATCTCAGTAGCTAATTACCAAAACCCCATAATATGTTATATCAATTTTCATCTTTTGAATTGATTTATCCAAATATGTAATAAAATTTGAGGCATTCTATTTGACAAATCACAACTTTGATATGTAGGTCGAAATTGGGACACCCTGTTAATGGTCAATATTTTAGAAATGTGCCCTCAAATGTCATGTATAACATCCCAGAAATAGATTTTCCCAAAATGTATTTGTTTATGAGTAATATTCCGTCCACGCATGGATGGGCCACCCTGTATATATATTTCTATCTGAGGTTCAAGAGGAAATGTTAGCGAATCTATAGTTATGTTATCTTTCTGTTTGGTTGGAACTAATTTAAATCTTTGTGTTCAAATTTCCACATTATGATTTTAACAAGGAGCTACCAGCGTGCGGATTTCGTAATAGCTCAGGAACTTTAGGCATTTTCTGTTAAAAAATATCGTTTGTGTGTAATAATATCTCCTGAAATTCTTTGAGATCTTGTTAACGGATGAAATGGAACATTGGCAACCTCAAGTTTTCGTTCCATTACAATGTTTTACGTGGTAGAAAATGCTACATTTTGTACTTTTTTGAATATTAAATCGCTTATATCAACTTAAAAAAAATAGACAGGAATCTCTTTTATTCAGAATGGCCCTGAAAACCTAAAAAGAGCACATTCATGGAATTCTATTAAAAAATCGTCTAAGAAGTTTTTGGCGCAATTTTGGGTCTGCCACATGCAGCTTTAGAATAAAATTATACAAAAACTGAATCCGAATATTTTTTCGAGCGATGCGAAGGTACTCCCTGGACTACATAGCTTTAAAGAAATCACAAAATACAGGTCAACATCCTCTGACAAGAAATTGAGTCTAGTTTGGATTAAGATTCGTATCAAAACGTCACGTTTGCTCTTAGCTCCTATATGGACAGGAGGTGAGGAAGACGCTTTGCTTACAGTATAAAATTTCTGACTGTTGTTAAGTAAGAGAAAACAGCATATTTGCGGCACATGGGATCAAAATCACAGTGTTAACGTGTATATTTAATATACTAACGGATTTCTAATTTTGATGGGCTGCACCCATTTATCCTTGGTCTACCCTACTGCCTAATGATAAATACTTCTCAATTTCTTACATGTAATCGTGCAAAGCAGAACACAGAAAAGAAAGGGCTTATACCACTTATAAATAGGGAACACAATTTTGATACAATTTTCTCATTTCGACTACCTAATTGAACGTGCCTCGTATGTCTCGAGCGTTCTGCATTATCCCATCGTGCCTTCGATTGAAGACGAAGGAGCGAGGAGCAAAGAGAAGGCTTGTTCGGTTCATGCACCGTTGCACTTGCGGCGTACCCCGGACCCCAAACCTCTTAAATTTCGACTATGCGACTCGGTGCAGCGGCGATAATGCAATTTCATCCGGTTCGGCGACGTCGCCGGATCGACGCCTTTGTCTTTGATTCCCGGATTTCAGCTCTGACGCCTCCATTGATACTAGGGCATTATTGAACCACTCCATAATAGGGCCAGTAGTTTGATGACTGTCACGATTGTGACTTGGGCGTTAGTTGCTCAAGGCTGTTAAAGGAATAATTAGCAAAAGCACATAACTGTTATAGAAAAGTAATGGGTGATTTTTTTGCTAGTATCTTTTTGGCAACACTGTTTTTGACAGATGACGCGTGGATCGTGTCTTGTGTCATTCTGTCATTGTCAAACTTGTTCAGTTTGGTCTATAATTTAACCATGAATCGACTTACGAACGAACAACGCTTGCAAATTATTGAATTTTACTATCAAAATTCATGCTCGGTTAAGAGAGTGCATCGAGCACTGCTTCCAATTTATGGGCAATTTGGTCGGCCTACTGAGGGAGCGATTCGGAAGCTTGTGACTAAATTTCGAACCCAGTTTACATTATTGGACATTAAACCACCAACACGCAGACGTAGAGTGACGACTGAAGAAAATATTGCGGCTGTATCCGCCAGTGTTAGTGATGACCGTGAAATGTCGATTTGCCGCCGTTCGCAGCAATAGGCCTCTGTTACTCCACTACGTGGAAAATTTTGCGACAGGATTTGGGTGTATAACCTTATAAGATACAGCTGGTGCAAGAATTGAAGCTACACGACCTCCCACAACGTTTCCAATTTGGTGAATGGGCGCTGGCAAAGTTGGAGGAAGATCCACATTTTTCTCGAAAAATTGTGTTCAGCGACGAAGCTCATTTCTGGTTGAATGGGTACGTTAACAAGCAAAATTGCCGCATCTGGAGTGAAGACCAGCCAGAAGCATTGCAAGAGCTACCAATGCATCCCGAAAAAATCACTGTTTGGTGTGGATTATGGGCCGGTGGCATCATCGGGCCGTACTTCTTCAAAGACGACAATGGCCGGAACGTAACTGTGAATGGCGAGCGCTACCGTGCGATGATAACAAACTTTTTTTTGCCCAAAATGGAAGAGCTGGACTTGGCTGACATGTGGTTTCAACAAACGGTGCCACATGCCACACCGCACACGAAACAATGGCCCTATTGAGAGGCGAGTTCGGTGAACAGTTTATCTCACGTTTGGGGCCCGTCAATTGGCCACCTAGATCGTGTGATTTAACGCCGTTGGACTAGTTCTTGTGGGGCCATGTTAAGGCTAATGTCTACAGGGATAAACCAGCAACTAGTGACGCACTGGAAGCCAATATTGAAGCATTTATTCGTGAGATACCGGCCGATATGTTGGAGAGAGTGTGCCAAAATTGGACCTTGCGCATGGGCCATCTAAAGCGGAGCCGCGGCCAACATTTACATGAAATAATCTGTAAACATTAAATTATATCGACCGTTCTATTGACTCAAATAAAGATTTAATCGTTTTTTCAAATTTTTTGTATCTTTTTGAAAATCAAATCCTATACCTCTTAAAAAATCACCCGTTATAAGGTGACACGACACGACTGTGCTGCCACTAACGCAATGTAAAAATACATTCCATGGTTAGACACGGCCCTGACGTCGTATGCCGCTCAATGATAGCATTGGTCTTAATAATTATTTACACTACAACTTACATACTAGAAGTATACAACTGAAAATTCAAATAATCAAAACCAACCCGAACACAACCATCAACTTAAAAAAGTGTGGTTGAAATTGTTATTACCTGTAATGAATGACAGAGTTATCGAAAACGTATAATAAGGACTTAGCTGTGCCAGTTTCATTTCCTTCCTAGTTATAGACAGCCGTAATAGTGCCACAATACTGCCTGCGACTAATAATTCCTGGCTGTACAATCTCTTCAATAACTCCCCATCTCATTCAGTGCAGACTGATGCAGTAGCGATGGCTAGAAATATCCAGAGCAGCTCCTATCAAAGCATCATGTCATTAATTTGTATCGATGTAACAATATAGTCTCTAATTATCCTAAATTTCTTGTTAGAAATAAGCGATTAATCAGTCAAAGGACCGACACGCTACCACCAGTAATTTGTACAATGCATGAGGCGCAGTACAGCAACAAGACTGTATAATGGACATTAAGAGAATTATGAGAACTGAATAGAGAACGGTGGAAACAGCTAGGTTACCTCAATATC